GTTTTTCAGGGAAAGACACCGTCTTTTTATCCTCATTTAACACAGCAGTAGAATTTACAATACCATCCTTATCATGCATGGCAAAATTCCCTCCAGCCTTTCGCTGATGGGATCTACGCTTGCCACGTGAACTGCCAACCTTGTTATTTGGCGAGGGCGGACTGCGAACTAAATTAGAAGAACTTTTCGCCGTGAATCCCCCAACCCAACTTTGAATTGAAAACCTCCTATGCCTCTGGACAACAAACGAAAATAAGAAAGGGTTAAAGCATACATTGATATCCATCTGATCAACATAACAATGAAAACAGCTATTTCCTAATATAATAAGAAATGAAAGAAGGCAAAAAAAAGTAAAGCATTTATTCTCAGAGAAATGATGACGAAATAGATAAAAAGATTTTGAAAGCCTTTAGAGAGAGAACAAACAGATCATGCATTAATTTCACTCAAAATTTATTACAGAAATCCTGAATTTATTCACATAAGACTTGTCAAGCTGGCTGCATGAAGCATCCTCTTGTAAGACTGAAGCTACAAATAGTAAGGTGTCATATTCTGCATTTATAATGCTTTTGTGAATTAATGGCATTTATTTCTCATGCAATAACTTAAAATCACCAATTGGTTAGTATCATATTTAGGCATGAATCTGTGGTGCTAAAAATGGCATAAGAGCTAACCCGAGCCTATTTCCATGTTGGATATGTGGCTTTTTCGTGAGTAGTTTATGGAGCCAAGGTTCCATCATAAGTATAACTTGTAGTTTCCATCAGCTTAGAATAAGCCAAGATATGTGTGACTTTCTAACTTGCAAGATTTGATTCTTTCTCCAATGGAAGGGAGTTAGCAACAGCCCACATCCCATACTGATAACACACTTTGAGAAGTTATATACAGTCACAACTACTCAATCTTCACAGCACCAATAAGCTTGCGGTTTCTAGTGGACATTTAGCAGTATGGAAAGGTCCTGAGTTCTTTTAGACAAGCAACACTAGCACACTAGCAGAAAATCTTAAGTTACGCAACAAGACTTTCATAGAAAGAGATTGAAATTTGATATGCAAGAAAAAACTCATAGCAATTGCTTTGTATGAGCACTGGTCCAGCCTCAGAATTTGTTACCATTGAACAAAAAATCGAAACAGACAAAAAAAAGAAGGGTCTGATCAATCAACTCAGTTGCATACTTAATTATTACGTACCAAATATCAAAACCACTAATAATATACGATGAAGTTTTACACTTATCCGTCCCCAACTTCATTTCTCACTTTTAATTTGCAGGTAAAGAAATCCATAAACAAGAATCTTATACCTTTGTGTGGTTAACATCAGCAAGCTAGTTAGCTAATGCGAGTATTTAGATAACCTGAGTAAACTTTTCAGTCAAGGGAAACAACAAACCACCAATCAACTCTCTAAGCTGATAACTGACAATGTATGTTTAAACATGTCATGGCACAGGCCAGCGAAGTTTAAATTATAAATATCGAGAAAATTTCAAGATAACCATGTTGAGTGAAAGAAAATGAAAGCAACACCTTCTTCACTTGAAACCATCCTGAGCCCTGATCATCCACACCATCGCTGCTATTCTCCATCAGCAACCAATCGAAACCCGAGCTTCCTCCCGAAAGGAAAGCAACCAATAAACTACGGCATCAAAAACCCAAAATTTACCCAAGCATAATGGAGCATCAAATGTCCGTTTGCAACAGAACTGCTGTTTTCATTGACCGTGAGCGATCATGATGGTCAAAAATCGAAAAGGGTAATCGAGCAAATCAATGAACATCAGAGAATCGAAAATAAAAGAAAGAATAACAAGAGAAGATATTAGTATTTAGAATGTTGAAGAATTTGATTTCACAATTGAAGGAAAATGACAGCTCAATATTACAAATTGACTTCCTGGGGACATATAATTCCGAAGAAAGCAGAATTGAGAAAATAAAAGATGTGATATTTTCAAATAAATGCAGGAGTTTGAGGAAGTGGAGAACTGTCTAGGGTTTTTTTTCTCTTTTTTTTTCCCTTGTCCTTACAATTCTGAAGGAGGGAGGATGGGGAGGTGGAGTTGGAGGAGGAGGAGGAGGAGGGAAGACAAGAGGGATTATTCCACAGCGGTGAAAATGAAGAAAATGGTAATAAACAAAAAAGGTTTTCTTATTCAACAGAAGATATTTACTTTATCAAATATTCCATCTATTTGGACAAATGAAGATCCATCAATCAGATCATTCAAAAAAACAAGAATAAAAAAAATGAAAAGATAGAGAAACCCATCAATCGGCATGGATTAAAGAAGCATGCAGAAAGGTTAAATCTTTATGTCTAATTGAAAAGTGAAGGGGTTAACTTGCTGAGGTTTCTTTTTAGAGGAAAAACAAAAGGGGTTACGGTCAATTTGGATTTGATGATATCAATAAAAATGACATGTTAAATGAAGAAAAAGTAAAATAATACATTTATTAATGAAATATATAATAATAAAATGTTTCTTTCGGATAACAAAAATAAGAGCATTTGTTAGTAAATTTTTTAAAAATATTGAAGATAACTAATTTCACCGGAGTGTAAAAAAGATTTTTGTTTGAAACGAGTATAGTGCTTTTTGGGAATAACATTGTTATTTTATATTTATATTAGTTATTTCATAATAGAATGTATGTTTTACGTTACAACACAATTTATATATTTATAAAAATAATTTTAAAATTTATGAACATGTAAAAAAATTATAAGTTTGTTACTTAGTAATGTATAAAAAAATAAATTATCGACCTAATTCTATTTGAAATTAATTTAAGAGGAATTTTATTTTCTATATATATTTAAAAATAACTCATCCTAATTAATCAAAAAAATTATATATATATATATATATACACATTTTTTTTTTAACAAAAAAGACAATTGAAAAATAAATAACTAAAAGATGTCAATATCAAATATGAAAAATCTGTAGATAATATTATATATATATATATAAAGATTATACATTATGCATGCAAAAAATCTTCAATTATCTTTAAAAGTAACTTCGAGTAAATTCTAAAAAATAATATTTTTAAATAGAAATATTACCATATGTAATGGATACGTTAATAATCATTAATGTGAATAATTTTTTTCTATATAAATGAACGAGAAATCAAATAAATTAATAAATAAAACTTAAGTGCATGGTTTTTCACATTAATAAAAATCACATAAATGAAAATCATTAATCATAATAATTTATTTTAATCATTATAAAACATTTAATAACTAGATATTATCATATCTAACGTACTTATTATTAATGATCATAAATAAATCAAAATATTAAAAATTTAAAAATAATAATAATTTTAAAACACATTCTCTCAAATAATTTATTTTAATTAAATATTATTATCTATTAAATTAAAATATGTATTTTTGTACAAAATTTATTCTAAGACAACATTATAACTTTTTATATTAAATCTTTTTCTTTTTTATTCAATTATCTCAAATTAGTGCTATAAAACTTATATCTTATCAATAATATTTTAGTTTAATGATTAAATTTTTATGATATATTTAAAAATCACAAATTCAAATTGCATTAAGAAAGTAAAATTTTCTATTTTGTATGCTGTCAGTTTATAATACTTAATTTAATGAAATTGAATGTTTAGTTTTATTAGTATGTTAGTACAGAAGTACGTTGATAAAGTTAAGATAAGTT